AATTATAATAAATTTGTTGCATAAGCATATGTTGCAAACACACACAATAGGTGAAACACACAATGCAGTAATAGAGAAAAGTTTCCTCATTCTAAATTGTCACAATATATTTCCTTGAATAGAAAAATATGTAATTAGCTAAACTCATAATTACAGAACTGAAAGATATATGTAATATATGAAGAAATATAGTTTTAAGGTGTGCTCGAGATATCTATATATATATATATATATATATATATATATATATATGAACATTGAGGTCGACATTCAGAGGCGACAGGCTGTTTCATGCTAGACGCAATCTGAGTGTTGACTTCAATGTTCAGTTATATATATATATAAAGAAAGAGAGATAGATGTCATGAAAACTTATCTTCCTTAGTCAGGTGGGGTGACACGACATCCGGAAGAAGACACAGTGATGTCTGCCTCCCACGACAACTGAGCTACAAATGAACCACATGGCATGCTACATACCTTCATTGAGTCAGAAGAGTAGTGAGAGGGAGCAAAAGAAACAAATTGTCAACTAAGTTCAGTATGTTGAGAGCAAAACAAAATAATTGAAATTTAGTCAGGTTACATTTTAGTTTAATATATTTACCTGATGTTTACGAGGCTTACGGCCGTATCATGATGAAACACCGTTTCCGCTACGTAAGCACCGAGCCTTGTCAGAGATGAACCACCGTTTGGGAATATCTGGTGTTGCATGCTTCGACGTGTGGTGTAACGTCTCGGAATTAGAAATCGGAGAGCCGAGTTCCAATTCCAGTCAAGTTCGTTATATTCACTCATGCGCAAATACCCTTGGGAAAAGCATGAAACCCCCTCTGCTCCCCCCAATTGTGGACTAAGATAACTTTTATCAGTAAATCATTATTATCTCAAAAAAATTCTTACCATCTTAAAATATTTTCTGTTGTTAAATAACCTACAAAAGATTGATAGGCCGTAAAAAAAAAGGTCGTAACGTGCGTTCTTTGCAAGCATCAAGAATGTAATGAAATATTATACTCATAGAATTTTTTTATCGTGCTAAAGATGTAGATATTTAAAAAAGACGACGCCCTGTCCCTCGTTAAAATATACTCATCTTGGGCTAGGATCTCACTTGTTTCGCTTTCATGGCCCCCTTACATTTATTGTTTGATATTAATGACTGGGTTACATTGTAGTGTTACAAAAAAATGGGCAAACCTAGACAGATTAAACGAGAGACTAAGAAAGAAATCACTAACCATTTAAAAATTCAAGTATAAATCATTACAAAACTTAAAATAATTCCAAGAAAATATGTCGTCTGTGAGGCCATTATGATATTTCTTAATGTCAGGTCTACTAATCTTTCCACAGAATCTTTTTCTCTCTTATCTGTGAATTCTTATAACCGAGGTTTCCTGTGGTTTTCCCCACCGTTTTCTATTCAATCTTCTTTCCCCTTAATTGCTAGCCACTCCTGGGTATGATGATAAACTACACCCGGCAGCAAGGCCACTAATCGGCAAGTTTTAAGGAGCATGGAACCATATCTTAATTGTTGTTGTTTCCCTGTCCACCCTGACCCGGGATGGTAGCACCTGTTATGGTCCTAGCTATGGACAAATAGTTAAAACCCAAACTAGGGTCAAAACATTATGAAAAAAAAAAAATAGATTTTTATAATAAAATTACCGGCAATACATTTTTGGAAACAATATTTTACCAGCAATATATTTTTTTGGAAAAGAAATTACTAATACTTTCAAGAAAATTATATTTCGGCATGAAATGACCGACAAACAAAGAAACACTCAAAGTTAAAGAACTCCGTCTACCCTGTTTCTTTCATAGAGGGGAGGGGGACAGATTGAGTGCGAAAATGAACGCAGCCGGGTAAGCTGTAATTTAAAGTCTGTTCACTGCTTTCACTTTCAGCGTTGATCACTATAACGCTACCTGCACTATGATAGCGAATGATAACTATGCAATAAAGTAGATTAAATTTATATCAATGCACCGTTGCCTTAAGTAGATGTGCGACATAGGAATTGTAAATTCGACAAATAGTGAGATTACGGGAAGCAGAAAGTTTGCTACATGCAAATTACCGTATTTGATGACTGACCTCCGCTTACATTTAGTCTTACGGTAATATGAAGTTAGGCTCTGTCCAAATACTGGTAGTCTACGCTGTCTGGGTAATGCTTGATCTACTACAAACCGCAATTTCGGGGGCACTTGACGTGGAGTAATGTTCAGCAAGTTTGTCTCACTAGAATAATTGTGACTGAGTAGTGAGTTCGATTCCTACTAGGTACCTCATATTTTCGGCCTTGTGCCACATCCAAGGTAGGTTTAGAAAATCATCATACTGCAATTTCGGGTTTATTTAGCCATTTTTCTTTCGTGTGTAACAGTAAAGGGTCTCATGTTCCCTCAAATACGGTAGGTTTTTCAAAACCCTGAACAGTATGACGAGTTTTTAAATTGACGACTACTCTTGGAAAGAGGTGGTCGATCCTTATTAGAACGAACGGACAGAACGAAATAAGCACAATATATGTACTGCTCAGTTGATTCACAATATATGTACTGCTCAGTTGATTCACAATATATGTACTGCTCAGTTGATTCACAATATATGTACTGCTCAGTTGATTCACAATATATGTACTGCTCAGTTGATTCACAATATATGTACTGCTCAGTTGATTCACAATATATGTACTGCTCAGTTGATTCACAATATATGTACTGCTCAGTTGATTCACAATATATGTACTGCTCAGTTGATTCACAATATATGTACTGCTCAGTTGATTCACAATATATGTACTGCTCAGTTGATTCACAATATATGTACTGCTCAGTTGATTCACAATATATGTACTGCTCAGTTGATTCACAATATATGTACTGCTCAGTTTATTTATTTCTTCTTCTTCCTTTAGAAGCACAGTGGTGTAATCGGATTGGTGAATCGGAGAGCAGAGTTCGAATTTCAGTTATGTTCATTACATTCACTTCACTGGGAAAGATATATAGTCGTCTTGGGTGGCAGCCAGTCTACGAGAGTCAGAAATTCTGAAGTGCATGCATTCGGCTGGGAACTTAAAAGCTTGTGAATCTAAATTGACACTGAAGCTCCTACTATGAATTGCATGTCTGAATAAATACGATCTCTGCTACGCTTGTCGCCTTTCGTCCGGATGCAGCGGGATGAATGCCGCAAGTAACGTTTACCTGTGTGGATAGGGTAACTAAATGCGCGAGCCCAGTCCAAATTCTCGCCGATTCTATTTTGTTCATTTCGCGCTAATTTTCTTCGAATAGGCACGAATTCATCTCACTCCAGCTATGCAGATTGGACTCTCTTACCTTTTATATCTGGACTATTGTTCTCATCTTTTCGGCCGTTGTGCCTTCCAGCCTCCTCCAGGTATATATCGATCTGGGTAACCTACAGAGAATTCAGAATTTAACCCTTTATTTAATTTACGGGAGAAGAGTATTCACGTGCCACTGCCCATGTCTAGTTTTTATTTTTAGTACTGTTCAGTTATTGCTCTCCTGTTTCCACCCAGAACAAGTTCACAATGCCCGGTTCGGGGATTGAATTAACAATCACTGTTATTAAATTCACTAGGCTATTGTTCCGTTGGACAATTCGCTGTATTGAACTTAGAGCATTAAAACTAATCTGCCTGCTGATTAGTGCTATATCTGCTATTTCTTTCTTTATTAGTGGCTCCCATTTTGTATTTATTTCCGTAATAGGCATACCAAAGAGGTCTTCGTAGGCTAGAATATGCGCTGATACATTTAGACGTGTAACTCTGTTCTTCTTTGTCCAGTATTTTCACATCATTCCAAAAGAGCTGATGACTACCCCTTTCTCTCCATATATGATCATCCATGCCGGATTTCATATTCTCAGCCCTAACTAAGGTTTTTCGATGTTCCCCCAACCTTACATTTAGACAAAATATGGCCGGCCAATAATTGCTTATACTCGTTTCCTCGCAAATGTATAAGTGAATTATAGGGCGAACCAAGCCACCCACTAAAAATTACTAGATTTTAAATGAATACTGTGCATTTATAGTATCATTAAGTATTTTCTTCTGGCTAGGTTCAAAGAGTAACAATTAATACTTTCATGCATACCTCCGACATTATTTTGCTCTTTTACTTATATATATATATATATATATATATATATATATATATATATATAGAGAGGGAGAGAGATTCTACCGTTAAGGGCGACAGACGGGCGTTCAGTAAATTGTAAATTTTACTGAATACCCTGCAAAAGAGAATTTTTTTCAAACGATCTTTTGCCTGTGTCCTGTAACGCAATCTTTCTCTGTTATAGCACCATTACTGCACTTTATGCCACATGTCCGATATTGCTACATTCTCAGGTGTTTTTTTTTAATAGTTTTCCATCTCCCACTGCATAATGGTGGTTGGCTCCCATAAGAAGTTCATCCGCCCTTTACCAGTTCTCTCTATGCTGGCTTGAATTCGGTTTCACTTTTCTTTTGCTAACCAAGGCAATAGGTTTCAATGAATGCGTGTAAGTGAATAAAAAGAAACTGTCTGATATTCAAAAGGCTCTCCAATTACTCATTCCTAGTCCTAATCCATTATGCTACCCGCATATCCAAGCTTACATCATTCCCAGTATTGGTATGCCCAAGCGATCACCCATCTGTGTAATGACCAGGATCACCGTTGCTCAACGTGATATGGCCGCAAGCATATATATATTCCTTCTCTGTCTCTCTTAAATATATATATATATATATATATATATATATGAGAGAGAGAGAAGGAAGATCTGACTCGCTTGCTAAACATCACTCTCCATCCGTTGACTTCGTATTTTTATGCGCTTATTCGAATTCATATGCATATGTATTTTCGTGCTTTCGAATGGTTTGTATTTTCAAAGGATGATCTGAAATAAACAAACCTTTCTTGTATTATTCATCTACTTTCCATCAATAATGCAGATAAGGAATTGTTCTTTCTTCTTTCCTTTCCAAAAAAAAAAAAAAAGAGAAATTCTTGTTTTTTTTTTATTCTCGCACTCGATTTTCTTTCGCTTTTCTCGTCCTAGGTTTTTCTTTTCTTTTCTTCTTATACCACATCTGTTCACTCAAACTAATCACTCACTAACGGTTCCTTGTTATTTTTATCCTTATTGGAATTGAGTCATCGGAAGTAGCTCAGAGTCGAGTATATTAAGCCTGCAATATTCGCGGCTAATTCATAATTGGCCATTGCTTGGATCGTCTAAATAAAACTCAAGAGGAAGACAAATTCGAAACGAGAGGCTCGGTTAGGCGGAACAGTTAGCTATAAACGAAATTAGAAAAAATGGATTTTATATAAATGTATTTCCTCTCTTTTAACAAAGTTAGTGTTATGTCTCTTTTATAGGACATTGATTAGAACAGGTTCTATAAAAATAAAACGAAGAATCAGTTACTAGTAATTTATATGGAAACAATTTGAGCTTTTCTTCATATTTTTCAGTTTAGATCAGCACTGACCAATACTAACAAGAACAATGCAGGAGGATGTGAAGGAATTTTAAGAAATGTTATCATCTTTTAAACGATTTCGGCATCGACAAGCTTACAGAAATAATAAATATACAACATTGGTGACATTTATATTATTAGATTAATCTTCGTATAGCTACCTAAGAAACCAGATGCAAATGAATGCGAGCTCCATCGGACAAACCACGTAACTACGGACTCTGATGAATTGAACGCGTAGCAGAATTGGACCGGAAACAAAACAAGAACAGTGCTGGTTTGTTAAAGACACTGAAATAAGGAATGTAATATTGATGATCAGATTGAGAAATGTGAATACAGAAAGACGTATATCTATGTTTCTGAAAGTTGTTTTCTGCTGCCGGAACACAAACGAGGAGGGACAAGACAAACAACAGCACCAGAGACAAACGAAACAAAACAGACACACGTCCACAGCAGAGGCGACGAAGAATTCCACAAGGAAGGATCGAACGTAACCGGGACACAGAAAATGAGGACAAACAAATAGGAAATCAGAATCACGTTGTTTCGTACGATAGCAATACTGGCGAAACAGAAATCCGATTGCTTAATATTGAGCCCAGAAACATCGGTAATTTGGCTATGCAAGACACTAATCATTTACATAAACAAATTCTAGGCACCACTCAGACCACCGCCGCGACCATTTTTTTTTTTTTTTTTGTGCAAGCAGTTGTTCTCGGGTTCGTGCCGGTCATCTTCTCCAGCACACTCAGCACACCAAGCGTTGTCTATTTGATCGACGGGGACGGACAGCCTCATCGAAGGTAGCCGGCAGTTCATCTTGCCTTTCATTTCCGCTACAGTTTCATATGTGGGTGACGAATTAGTTTCCAATTTGCAATCCTTTTCTCACAAATGAAACGTCGCAAGCTTCTCGCTGCTCTATCACTGTTTCTAGTTAAAATGTTCAGAGCTTCATTTCTTAGTTCCACATATTCAGACCGTCACCGCTAAGATCTGCCCTGTCACTCACATTGTAACGAACCCTCCTCATTCCCTTCTTATTCTACTGGTGAGATGTAAGTTCCACTCGACCAGCTTCTGCCCACGAAATGTTGTCAGAGTTAGCTCCTTCTTAATTCACTTATTGTTCATTAGGGGGTCGCTCTCCCTACACTATAAATACTGGGCAAATTCTTGCCTCATTCTCTTTTTCATTTCTTCATTTTAACGGACACAGCTACAATGTAAGCTCCCGCAGAAGATAACGTCTTCCCATTTTGGGAAGACGCCATGAACATTATACACACATACACCTACGCACGAACATTCACCAAAATACAAACTCTTTACGTTCACACACAAACACAAATGTTGATGTCTTTGTCACTTGTAAATTTTGTCGTTTAATCCATATATTTGTTGATATATATATATATATATATATATATATAGATCGATCTATTGCGTCCGCCATATTCTTGTAGTTCGACCTTATAGCAGGAATAAACAGCACGTGTTCCTAATTCAACAACACGTAAACCCACACGGTCCTCTACAATGGTACTCCGTGGAACCGACTCTCAAGAGAATTCTTCACCAATCACGACAATCTTTCAAGTCAAGGATAAACCGTTATCTTCCTCGCATATCCCCATAAACCGTGCCGCTTCCTCTATAACCCTCTACCACGAGTGGCTCTTGGGCCTTGCACATCATTGTAACAAAAATAACGCAGACATTTAATAAGGTACTACATTTGTACTGCCCTGTCACTCACATTGTAACGAACCACCCCCATTCCCTTCTTATTCCACTGGTGAGATGTAAGTTCCACTCTACTACTGTTTGTACTGTTAGGAAAACGATTTATTCGGGAAAAGTATAAGAATAATTCAGAACTTATACACGGAACAAGCCACCGGAGGTAAAAATGAAATAAATACACAACAAAAAGGGGCTTAAGACAAAAATAGGTCTTCTCACAGGACTTATATCATCCTTACAGAGGGGCAATCCTAAGAACTAGAAGTACTGTTAGATACAACCTATATAATAAATGCGATTGTCAGTGTGTCACATTTTTCAACATTACTCCTAAAGGCCTTACCCAACATATTATACCAAAAGTCAAGTTGAATCCGTGAGCAAATTAAAAACATTCCGGGCCGGATCCGAACCCGCAATCCTGAAATTTGGATTGCGAAGTTTTCATTGCTGCAATTGTTTTCGGCAATTTTTTTTTTTTTTTTTTTTTTTTTGACTTTTGCGACAAATTTGTTTGTACGATAACAATTTTTATAACTTAGAAATAAATTTGGGAATAATCGAAATTAATTGCGAAATCAAGTGAAAGTCACCCATGAAATAAAAATAATTGCTTGTTCGGAAAATAAGGACCTACGTACATTAAATTGTCTTTAAATTAAGTGGCGTCAGTAGAATTATCGTTGAACTTTTAAAAGATAAACTTAAATATTAATGCAATACTTAAATGCAACGATCAATTTTGAGTTCTTCTGTAGTAGTTTATTGTTCTCCTCTACTATCGCATCTACTCCCTGCTACCTCTTGTGATGAAGCTCCAATCAAGAACCATCCACAGGAGCTAGTTTAAAAGCTAAGATCTACAAAGGATAGAATGTTGCCGGGAGCCTTAATTATGCAAGTCCTGAAGAGACAGAGCACAAAAGAAGATACTTAGAATTATTCTATAAACATTGGTTGGTTTGTTTACGGCTTATCACATCTTTTTCCGGTTACGTAAAGGCAGAAAATGTTTTTAGATTGTCAAAATTAATGAAAATGATTTACTGATTCAAATCCTACTAATTTACCCATAGCTGGTGGATTCATACCATTCCTAATGGTATTTGCGTCGTAAGTAAATATAATGAACTAGAACTAATTAACCCATACCTGGGGGAGAATAGGTGGATTCATACCTATCTCTACGGTATTTACACATAAGAGAATATAAAGAACCCGACTGGAATTAAAACTAACTAAATTATTGCTGGGAGAAGAGGAGGTGGATTCATACCTTTCCCGATGGTACTTATGCATAAGCGAATATAACGAACCTGATTGCAATTTGAACTCGGTTCGCCGACATCCGATTCCGAACCGATATCTATTACACCATTCGTACATCCAAGTTTACAGCACCTAGTATGTATTCCCAAGCGGCCACCGACCTAGGTACTAACCAAACTCGACGTTGCTTAACTTCAACGTGATATGGCTGTAAGTTTCTCTCCTGAATCTCTTGCATATTTATAAGTCTACCATTCGTCCATTCTTAGAATATTGCTACCACATATGGTCTGGTGTTCACGTTATATATCTAGAGATCCATTGGGCACCTAATATCGGTGTAATGGTTAGCAAGCTTGTCTCGCTAGAACAATTACGACTGAGCAGTGAGTTCAATCCTCACTGGGTGCCCCTTACTTTCGGTTTTGTGCCAAATCCAAGCTACGCTTGGAAAATCACTATATCTCGAGATCTTTGATAAAATCCAAAGAATCGGCAATATTATTAGTCCTGATCTGGCGTCTCAGCTTCATTCAATTTCCCACCAACTAAAATTGCGTCCCTGTACGTTTTTTTATATAAATACTTCATGGCAACTCTTTTCTATAATATCTAGACTTGATGAATTTAAGTGCAGTTATTGTCTGGCGACGATGTCTTAGTTTACAGTTGAGTTGGCTAAATGTAACCGTAAGTTCTATGCTAACAGTTTCTTTTTTCGGACTCCTCGCTTGTAGAACTCTCTTCCGGTTCCATGTTTTCCAGATAACTTTAATCTTCAAACATTTAAATGCAATGTTAATCTCTATCTACTGTCCTCCTGATTACTCTTCTTTTGTTCTTGCTCCTTAGTAAATAATTTGTTTAATAATTCTTCCACACCCAGTAATACCTTGTGTCTTAATGACTTTACTGCCTTGCTTGGGGTGACAGCGATTGAAAAAAGTTGTTGCTACAAGGAACAGTTACATAATATACTGTAGTGGAGTGATTTCACAGTGGAGGCTTGTATTTTTACTAAGTCGGTCCTAAAATAGGTCCGACGTACAAAACGTTAAGAACTTGATATAATAGGTATAACGCAGAGTAATCTAGTTGTGGTCGCTGATACTTTAGTATTCGAGTAACTGTCGTCCGACATCGACTGACTCACTGACCGACTTGTTACTCTTACTATTATAGGTGGGAGAGTCTATTAACTATAGAATAGAAGTGTTCCACTAATACATATACCTAAAAATTACGCAAAAATGCCGTGTATTCGGCGTTTGTAGAGTATAAAATATTCAACTTTACTATATACAACTGATACAGCGAGCGATTCAACGTTACCGTATACAACCGATACAGCGAGCGATTCAACGTTACCGTATACAACCGATACGGTTCAACGTTACCGTATAAACCACGATACAGCGAGCGATTCAACGTTACCGTATACAACCGATACAGCGAGCGATTCAACGTTACCGTATACAACCGATACAGCGAGCGATTCAAAGTTACCGTATACAACCGATACAGCGAGCGATTCAACGTTACCGTATACAACCGATACAGCGAGCGATTCAAAGTTACCGTATACAACCGATACAGAGAGCGATTCAACGTTACCGATACAGTGAGCGATTCAAAGTTACCGTATACAACCGATACAGCGAGCGATTCAACGTTACCGTATACAACCGATACAGCGAGCGATTCAAAGTTACCGTATACAACCGATACAGAGAGCGATTCAAAGTTACCGTATACAACCGATACAGCGAGCGATTCAAAAGTGACCAATTAGTTGATTATCTGAAATTGAAATATCTACTTAACATTTTAAGCTTTTTTCAGCGACGTTTCTGATCTTCAGTTTACAGAAGTTGCTCAGTCAGTTCATGATAAGGTGACACACGCTGTTACTGACAATGCTTCTTCTATTATTCCGCTTCTTTCTATCGACAATAAAAATCGATTTTGTCCCTTTTCTTTTTCTTTTTCGAAAAAATATTGCAATCTCTATCGATCAAGTTTGAAAGCCAGTCATTTTAGAAACTGATAATCAATGGACTAATTTTCCCGACATTCGACATGCGAGTTCATATCACGTGAGAAATCACGACACGATTTTGGACACCATTTTTTTTATTTTTTTAAAATCCGTGCTCGTAATATATACTGATGTTTTTATATGCATTGTCAATCGTCAAAAGCCGCCCCCACCCCACTTCGCGCATGAAAAATCTATACGAATAAATTTTATCTTTCCGTTTTAATACTCTCCCTTTTTGTTGAGTCTTAATACTAAACGATAAATGCTAAAAACGTGAAGCAGGTATTCGCCCAGATGTTGGTTATTCTGTACTAAATGTTTATAACAGGTAGAAAACTTATTTTTTCAAAGGGAATAGATTGTTCTCGTTCTGCAATCCATTTCTAAGGATATATTGTCTTTTAGTTTACCACGACTCACTGACATCTAGTTCTGTTGCCACTGAGTCTAATTCTCTACTACCTGGTCTAGAGGTTGAACCCACAATTAATATGTCACTAAATTCACGAATGAAAACTTTTTATCTTCTAGGCTATTGTTCTGCATAAGACAGTCGTTGTGATAATAAAATCAAACTTTAATCAAAGTATAATAATGATAGGTAACGTTGATGATGATAATAATAGATTATGATAATAGGTTAACAGATAATGAGAATATTTAGAGGTAATGATGATAATAGTTGATGATAATGATGGTAATAGATAATGATAATGGTAGTGATGATAATAATGATGATGATGAATGATAATAGGTAATAATAGATTATGAGGATGATGATAATAGGTAATGATGATGATAGTTGAGGATAATGGTGATGATGATAATAGGTAATGATGAGGATAATGGTGATGATGATAATAGGTAATGATGATGATAATAGATGAGGATAATGGTGATGATGATAATAGGTAATGATGATGATGATAACAGATGAGGATAATGATATTAGGTAATATTGAGGATAAAGTTGATGATGAAATAGACAATGTTGACGATAAAGCTGATAGGTAATGACGATGAAAATAACATGATGACGGTAATTACTTTATAAGCAAGAAGCAATACTTATTTAAGTTAAACGCAATTTCTCACAAGGTCAGTGTTGACGTATGTAGTGAGGAATGTACTCATTGCACTTGTTAACTGCCATATCTCGTTGAAACACCGGTTCTCATCTGGTCAGCGAAGTTAGGCAACGTTATGTCTGGTCAGTAATCGGACAGGTGACCCCCAAGAAAGGTGCTTTAAGCTACGTGACATGCTTCGAAAGACGGTGATGGATTATATTTGTAATTCCATAAGACTTTCATGAGTAGAAGTGCTTCTGGAATTTTAGCTCGCCAGATTCACCTGGAGTTGGTTGAGTGAGACCAGACACTTGCTAACAAAACGAAATTGTTAACTACGACTTATAAAAAAAGCGATCACTTAGCAGTAGCAACAACAAGTATGATAATAAAAGCAGCAATAGTAAAATATATAACAATAGCATTATTTACGAAAAGACTTAAATGCAATTGTCTCACATAAACGAGAAAATCTCTCGTTCTCGCTATCTCGTTCTCGCTATCTTTGATTAATTAAACTGTAATGGTAATATTAGCTGTTTTCTTATAAGGAAATATTTGGTATTCATTAAATGAGCAACCAGTGTTGCAGTCAGTTAAAATTCAGAAAATCTTTCTCTTAAAACAACAACTTCACGTCTAGTAGCTGTTATTGCTATTTCCAATATTGATGGGGGCTTCCTTCCTAACCTTTTGTTTGAAGTCGTCTGGAACGTCAACATCTTGAATGTGTCATTAATTTTGTCTTCGAGTTACATGTGCTATTCATTTCATTTGTTGCCGCTGTCAGTCATCAAGTGACGTGGTTTCTGTTATTTGTTACGGTTCTTTTGGGGGGTACTTTGTAGGTTTTATTCGCTGGAAGCCATTTTTAACGACTCATCTGTGAAATCGGTTGTATACCGTTGACAGTTTAGATATTTCTGAACGGGTTTGGCACCAGGCATGACGTCCATATAAAGGTGTCGATCTGAAGAAGCTATTCTAGATTAACGTTTTCATTTCGCCCGAATGCCGTTGGGAGAGGGGTATGAATCCATCTTTTCTCTCCTCTGGACTTGATAGCTTTATCAGCCTTAAAAACCAACGCTGAAATCAGAACCAAGCCCAAAATTCACTATCCAGTAATGGATAAAAAAAAAAAAAGAATATCGGATAGGCATTGAAATCTTACTTACAAAAATATGATCGGCGCGCAAGCCGAAGTATAGACTAGCAGGTGTCGGCAACCTTTTGTTATATACCGGCTTAAAGTTTAAAAATCATTTAGTGTGCCAACAGCATACGTATTTTTCTGCATGCCAAGGTCAATATACCTGTTCTACAATATATTTTATATAGTAATATGTACTTTAGCATATATTAAAATTGAAACGACTAAATATCTTTGCGTTGTAGTAGTTATTGGTTCGAGCTTCGCGATGTCAATTTCGGCTGCGTACCATTAGGAATTGCTTGGCATGCCACATGTGGTACGCGTGCCGTAGATTGCCAACCCCTGGACTAGATCTAGAAGTAATATTAGCGTAAGTTGAGCTTATCTGGCACAGTGTCCAGTTACCTTTGGGCAATATATAAAACCTTTCAGTTTAGTGTTCGTGTACCAGAGTCGACGTTAAAAAATGATTCTTATTAATAAAGCAAATTTCGGTAAATAAGTTATACGAATGGTGGCCTTGTAGGGACACCTATCTATCGATTAAATAGTAAACTGAGATCTCTAGCCTTGAGAAAGAAGTCCTTTCAATTCATAGATATGATAAGAGGAATCTATAAAGAGCTATCAGCTTACATCCTGAAAGAACACGGTATATTTAAACGTAATACTCTACAAGATCTTGGTATGCTATAAATATTCCATTTATTCCAAGTAGTTTTCTTTTAAAACAATGTTCCCCTAATACAAGGCCCAAGGTCCACTCAATGTAGAGGGTTACTGAATTATATTGTATGGACATAAGAGAAGGAATTAAGTGCAGATTCTGAGGGTATGTAGAATAGATTGACCCTAGACTTGAAGAGTTTAAGCATGAAGTGATCGGGAAAGCATTCTCTCGGAAGTCTATTCCACAAAGTAGCTGTTCTTGGAAACAAACTGTCTGAATGGAATTTATTTCTTATCTATGGAATACGAAGGAAATGCGGATGAGTCGATCTTGTGTACGTGGCATGATGGTTGCTAGCTGTAAGTTTTGAACTCTTTGTACTAAAGAATGTAGCTTGTCCGAGAATTTGTTATGGAAATAGTAAAGTAGCGATAAGACTTACGATGCTTCGTCTGTGGAGAAAAGAGTTGTTGAGTTTATTTTTCTTTTTTTTAACCAATTATCCCCCAAGCACGGAAACAATGACACCAAGACGCAAGTGGCTACTTGGTAGTGAAACAGAATGAAAAGATTTAACAATGTTACCGGAAACCCGATTCTTAACATGAAATAAGGAATAAAACTCTACTTCTGTTCAAAAGATCACAGAGGAGTGTGAACTTGAAAATAATCCATCGTCTACATGGCCGCGTAAAGACTTTTGAACTGTTTCAAGACTGGAGAGTGAGAACTGGGCAGCTTCAGCCCAGATATGTCACCAATATTTTCTCATTTTGTTCCGAGCTAAACCGGATTACCTTGCTATAATTTTCCAAAGCAAAGGAGATTTTCCATTCTGTAAACAACTGTTTCAATATAATGGCTCTTCAGTTTCTCCTCTTTTCCTAGATCCATCGATAATTGCTTTCAGAAAGTTTTATTGCAGTTGCTTATCAGAGTGAAGTGGTTGCTATTCTCAGCTAAAACCCCCAAATTCCTATTATTTTGCATCGGAGATTTTCATGTTATACTTAAGCACAGTTTAATGAGTCTCTCCTCCCTAGCATAGTGCTTGAAAACTCCTGCTTCTCTAGTTATTTTTTGTTGAAGTTTCATAATATCTGCATGATTTTATATGTAATGTGTACTCCAAGAGATTCTTCTGGTTAGACTAAGCCCCCAACAAGGAATTATTTTTCTTTGCCATCAAAACGTTCTATAATGCCGATTACTAACCACTGCCACTATTATTTGGTAATTATTTTCTTTCTTCCTCTCTTATTTTTTATTATTTGTGTAGACGAAGTCATCTTATGGAATATCAAATCTAATATTCCTACATTATTTACATTGTTTGGACTCTTTAATGTCATATTCACGACGTTTCGGCAGTTGTAAACACCGGTCTTCTTCAGGTGATATTTGTTTGAATTTTGAACCGTACCCTTTATTTAGTCCACGGGAGTAGATTTTTCTAAACCCACGTACAGTGCCTTTGGATATGTCAAAATTAATTCGCCTTCATAACTCCAATTTTTGTCATCTCCATTGAGGTCACGGATTGAACTGACAACTCTTGGGTCATGTTACTTTTTGAATCAATCGACCAGTGCTTTTAGCCACTGGGCCATGCTAATATTCTTACGTCTAGAAAGCTTCATCCCTTTTTCAATGCACACCTTCGTCTCGCATTATTAGCTGCTATAATTTTTCATAAAAAAGGGATAAGATTAACAAAAACATTTCCCAATTTAATTATTAGGATATTTTACATATGTATTATTTGTGATAGACTCTGTATCATTGTATAATGCAGTAACAGTTGTGAATTTTACTAGATTTTCCATGTTTCACATTATTAGCCAGGCTACGAAAATCCAAGAAACAATGATATAATTAAAAATTATAGTTACAGAAATTCAAATGATTTGAAAACAAAATAAAAATCGTGTTACTATAATGACGAGAAAATTATAAAGACAACATTAATATGAAATGTATGCTCCATGTTCTGAAAATTGTTTGTTTATCCATTTGTTTTGTTAGCTGTTGTATTCTTTGCAATACGACTTCTGAATGATCCGATGCCTTCCAAAAGTTAA